GGACTTTGGAGAGCACTGATCAGGAGGAATGCCTTACCCCTCTGGGAGCACTCATGGCCTGCCTGTTGTCACCGATGACCATGGGGTGAACTGGCTTCTGGTGGGGGCTGAGTATTTGTGACTAGACTCATCACTCAGGCAGAGAGGGGAAAATGTGAGCTTTGCTTTCACTGTTGACACCACGGTGTGCAGTAGACTAGAACAGATGCACCCACTACCAGCCAGTGAGGAGCCCGGGGTTCCAAGAGTCAACAACACTAGCTCACTTTTTTGAGAAGTGCAGCCAGACCGAGTAGCAGCTGCAGGGATTGCCACCTGGACATAGGTCTGTTAGGTGACCAGCTGTTCCGCTTTCCTTAGAACTGAACTGGCTAGCACATGCCATGTCCCCAGGAAATTTATCTATCCTGTGTCCCCATTTTCCTGTCACCTGGGTAGAACTCAAAGCCCCGACCAGGTTTCAGGGACTCAAGCCTTCCTCGCCTGACTTCAACAGTGGACATTTGACATTGACACCAGGAATTCTGAGAACAGAGGATTATCCTAGGATGGGGGAGCAAAAAAATCGATTCAAACCACATTGACCTTAAGAGCCACCTGCCAGGTGAAGAGGAGTGAAGAGGAGGGAGAAGAAGAGTGGGTGGTGAAGATAAGGGCAGGAACCAAGAGCCACAGAGAATGAAAAGATCTAGACAGAGAGGCATGGAAAGAACAGAAATAAGATGTGATATCTTCCCCAGCTCAAAGCGCCAAGATGAGGCTATGTGCAAACTTTGGCTCATCCAAGCCAGAAACTTAGCTCACTGTGCAGGGCACAGGGACAGAAGACAGACTTACCTGGGTCGTGAGAGCCACTATTGAAGGCAGAGCTGCTGGAGCAAGCATCCCCTCTGCCCTCATCTTTTCTCCTTGTGAATGCAGTGTGAGGCAGCCTGAGAATGTAGCTGCGCTCCAGGGGGTGGGGACCAGGAGAAGATTACTGCCCCATGAGGGAGGTACAGAATGATTTTCAATATGTTCCTGTGCTGTCCCTAGTCACCTGTGAGAGGGGCACTTCAGAACCTCAATAATCATGTACATTTAATGCTGTCCCCAACTTAGCCCCAAATTTCTAGACTGAATCAGGGCCTGAAAGATAACCATATTTGTATTCCACACTCGCAGCAGAACATACCAGCCAAGAAGCTGTGTTGTCCAACAAGACTGCTGGGGTGATGTTATAGATAGTAAGAGACTTGTTTGTGAGATGGCACCAGCCTTCTCTCCACTGGACCTTGCAAGAGCTTTAAAAGGAAGAGAGCCTCTTAATGCCCATTGCATAGATGAAGAAACAGGAAGAAAAGCCACTGGACAATGCGCAAGGTTATCTATCTAGTAAGACATGCCAGCATAGCGTTTATCACAAAAACACGAGGCCCTCGGGCTTTTCAATGCTCTCATCCAAATACATAAAGACTATGAACCCCCTTCATTTCTCCTCCCTAAGTGAACAGAGCCATTTGTTTCTTCAAGAGAAAATACAGAGGCTGGGAAGGTGGCTCAGGATGGATCAGTGAGTAAAGTGCTTGCCGTGCAAGCCTGAGAACCTGAAGTTGGATTCCCCAGGACCCAGGAAAAAGCCTGGTGGCCTGTGAAAAATCGCAACACTCGGGAGGTAGGAGGTGGGAAGATCCCTTAGGTTTGCTGACCATCCAACACAGCCAATCACTGGGCTTCGGTTTCAGTAAACCTTCTCTCAAAACTTAAGGTGGAGTACAGCTAACCAAGACAGTCAACATCTGGCCTGCACACGAATTGCTAACATATATGCACACTCACACACATGAACATGTACACACAAAAAAAAATAAATAAATGGAAAAAGTTCTTCCAAGTGCAGCCTCCATCGTCCTTTAACTCCACACAGAGGAGGCTGGAGTAAACGTGCCTGTTCCCTTTGTCGTGCTCTGTCCCAGCTAGGGCTGCTCCTTGTGCAGGGGTAGATGAGGGGTGTAGCCCTTGACCCAGACTAGCTGTGAAGCCACGTTATTCCAACCCTGACTCTTACGTGTTCTCATTCTCCAAAGTCCCAGATCAGCAGGACACTTGAACCTGTCACAGACAAAGCCTCACATCTGTGGGAGGTAGGAAACAGTTAAACCAGAATGACTTGTCACCTCTGCAGTTAGCACCAGGTGTTTCCCAAGCTCAAGCAAGGTGCCCACACCATTGTTACCAGCCAAGGACTTCAAAGAGCCACTCTGTGGTGTGGGAAGGTGCTTCCACCATCCTTGGGTGTCTGTGCCAAATTGTAGAGAGGAGTCTTCCATCTGGAGGAACTTCTCACCAGGAGCCTCTTCTGAAGGCCAAGGTTATCCTCGGGCTGCAGAGTGCAATGAGAGCCCAGAGGGTAGCTTATGTGGGTTCTACTATGCAGTTCTTCAATGTTTGCAAACACCTGAACTTCACAATAAGATGCTGGAAGAAGGAAAGAGACAGCAGCAGCCAAGGCTTTCTCAGCTCAGGCACCTCACGGTCCCAATAAGCTGCAAAAGGGAGGATCCTTCTCTATCCCCTTTCCTCAAGACCCTGCCTCCCCTCATTCTCAGACCCAGGGGTATTCATCATCATGGCTGTTCTCACACCTCCACAAAACCTTCCCTTACTCTTACTGTAGCAGCAGAACCCATGTCCCCAGAAGGTCCCCTAATCACCATCCTGGATAGAGAGTAGGTGTAACAGGCTGGCACAGAGAAAATCCTGTCACCCTCAGTGTCCATCCCTGGGCTCTGCATATTTGGGGGAGCCTGTATTGCTGATAATAAAATTAAAACATGAGGTCCAGACTCCAGCTAACCAATGGCAACAAACTTACGGTCTTGCCTATGGGGGCTTTGCTATACTCAGCATTGTGGCAGGCATGGGCATGTGCTCAGGAGAGTTGTGTCAGGTCCTTATCAATGTGAGCTTAAAAAAAAAAAAGCCACAACATGCCTGGTGCCTTAGGGAAACCACAGAAGTGAGGCAGGGTAGGGTGGAGCCCTCCTTATCTCATTCACCCTCTCCTTCAGTCATTTATTGTTCACTTAGAACCAGCACAGGGTCGGGCTGAGAACACTACAGACTATTCAGGCCCAGGCCCTGGCCTTGAGACTTTTATGGCCCATGGGTCAGTGCATCTCTGAGGCTCCAACACTGGAGAGGAAAAGTAAGGAAAAGGAAACCTGTACCCAGCAATCTACATCCAAGTGGCAAAGAGCAAGCCCTAAGCAGGAGGTTTGTCAACTGGCCCTCCTGCTCTCCAATGGCTCAGCTTCTCTTCTCCACTCGCTTGCACGGCTTCTCCAAGTGTCTGGGTCATCATCTGGAAAGTGTATCATGCCTGTAGCACTTGGAGGATATGGGACAAAACAAGATCATTTGCGATGAACATTTACAGGCTCCTTTCCTCTCCCCAGATAGGGAAGGAGCTAAGTGGCCACCTGCAGCTCCTCTTTTAACCTGCTTCCTTCCCACAGGGTCGGTGCCCACTGGAGCTTCCCTTCAGTTGTTCGAGGCGAGAGCTGACATTTCACGTTACAGGCCCAGTTATCTGTTTCCTAGGAAACAAGGGATAACACTAATTCTGCAACAAGTCTTCCCTCCACCCCCAAACACACACACACACACACACACACACACACACACGTCTCTCAGCCAGAATGGCAATTAAAAATAAAGTACAAGTCAGTCACTAAAATTAGTTTACATATCTTCACCTTGTGTTTCTGCTTCCTGCCACCTGGAAAACTAGGAACTGAATCGCAGGCACCCTGAATAACACACTCTCCAAAGGGCAGGCCCAAGACCCTTCTTTGCACCCTACCCTGCTTCTTTCCGAGAGACAGAACAGGTGGTCCCCCACCTGGGGTTATCCCTCCCTCTGAATGACTTCTCTTCACCTTCTTTCCTCATCTCAAGGCTGTCCCCAGAGTCCCATGTTCTGCATGCCCATCTCTCACTCATCCTGCCCCCTAAGCCACCCACAGACTCCTGTCTATGGCACCTCAGTTACTCAAATCAGAAACCAGGACATTACCGTCACCCTTTCCTCTTACCTGTGTTCTACACCCCTGAGCTCCTGCCCATGAGTACCTCTCTGCGGTTTATCCATCTGCACTGTGTATGCCCTCTGCTTCCAGCAGGCCATGGGCTCCAGGTACCTGTGTTGTCACCCAGTCTTCCAGCCGACTTGAGAGAGAAGCAAGACCTAGGGCATATCCTCTGAGATGCTCCTCTTCATCTCCCTGGGTGGGATCCGTGTCTGGCTTTCTCTCTTCTCCACAGTCCCTTTTATATCTGGCATAGATGCAATCATACGGCATTAATTACTACACACACTCATGCCACCCTTACTTCGTGCCAGGTGTTGTTGTTCAAAAAGAATTATGGGTATTTAACTTCCACAACAACCCTAGAGGTGTGTGTCTCTTATCTGGCTCCTCAGCTTCCCAGGGCCCTCGGGGAGGTGGCCCCACCGTTGATTCAGCTTTCAGTCAGTCACCTGTGCCCAGCATAGAAGTGGCTTACAGTGAGATTTCCTGGGGACTGTACCATTGATTTGCTTTTGACACCCCAGCATCTAGACGAGTGCTTAGTCAATTTTCATGGAGTAATTAAAGGCATGCTGCATTGAACTGGTACCTAGTCCTCCACAGAGATGTTCTCTTGGTGTGTTTCCCCTGCTGTCCATCTAGAGTGCCCGATGGTTGCAAACTGGCTTTTTTTTAATTGGTTCGCAAATAAGGCTTTGTGGGATTTGCTTCCTTATCACACCATAAGCATAGGTTTCATTACATCACACAAAAGGCTTTTGATTGAGCGCTTGAAACTCCTAAATAGAATAGCATTCCTGGGACCACAAGGAATGCATCCAGGCCCCGGCTGCAGAGGCAGCAGGCACTCAGCACTATAACAGGGAGTGTGTGTGGTTTATGGACATCCTGATAACTGCAGGTGCCTGTGTCTTCTTCTTGGTGCAGCATTACTTCATAGTGAACTTCACCCACGAGAACCAGAAGGCGCTGGAGCTGAGGACTGAGGATGCAAAGGACTGTGACGAGTGGGTGGCAGCAATTGCTCATGCCAGGTATGTCTCCCCCTGCTAAACTAGCTAAGGTGAAGAGACCAACCCAAGCAAACTTGTGCAAGTCCAAGACTGGGGGCAAGGGAGTGGGAAAAGGAGGAGAGGAGAGTGTAGATGTTGTCAAAGTCTTGGCTGCCCCAGAGAACAAGAGATCTTCAGAGTCCCATCTTCTTCTAACCGCATAGTCGCATCTCTGATATGCACAGCCACCAATTTGACGTGTGAGCATGAATCGGCCCCATCTTTTTTCTGAACTAAAGCTAACCATGCCCTGGCAGAGCTAAGCACTGTCAAGTGTAGCACCATCCAGCTGGCCCTCTAGACAGCTGATCTCACTGGCCTGGTAAATAATGAGGCATCATTGTGTCTACCTGCCTATAAAATGTGACCCTCTGAGGTCTGGAACAATGTGTGACTCTGCGCTCTCAATGACCGATAAAAGCACAGAAAGGGTGTCCGGCGGGTGTGAGTTGGAAGAATGGAAAGACAAATGCAAGGATGGATATAAGTCTGGAGACTGAGAATTAGTGATTAGTGGAAAACTGGGAATAGATGAAGGAAGGATAAAATGACATGGATGAGTATGGACGGATAGACGAATAGATGAACTTGTGGGCCTTGAAGCTCACTTACCCAGAAACCTATATTGTGAACCAAGCAACAGCCTTAGCCCGAAGAACATGCCATCTCTATTTCTGTCCACAAAAGTCATCCAGTCTCAGCTACAGACATCAAGTTCTAGAAAAAAAAAAAAAAAAAAAAAAAAAAAAGGCAATAGACACAGGCCCAGGGCAAAGTGCGAGGGAGCTGGAGCTGGCTGCCACACAAGTGTTCCCCACGAAGACATCACAGTTTGGTGAGCGACATTATTTCCATCTTCAGGGAAATAGGGGTAGAAGTAGGGTACCAGAGGACCTAAGTGAAGGATGGAAAGGGAGGTTTAATGGGTTTAAATATGAGCATCTCAACATCTCCCTCCCTCTCCTGAAAAAAAAAAAAAACCCTCTTATTTAAAGCACTAATACATGAAAGATAATTTAAGGAGTAAAAAGGACATAGAGTTTAGATGTTAAAAATCAGATGAGGGCCAGTGAGATAGCTCAACAGACAAAAGCACATCCCACCAAGGCTGAGAACTTAAATTTCAATCACTGGGACCTACTTAGTGGAAGGAAAGAGCGAATGTTTCCTCTGGCTTCCACAAGCAAATGAAGTGGACAACTGGTGGTCATGAGATCATAAATGACCTGAAATTTCCTGTTGAGATACGTGGCCTCTCCTCTGTGAACCATGGGAGCCACTGAAGGTCTTACACCAGAAGAGTAACATGACCAGAGCTATGATTTAGACTAGGAATTGCTGGGTTGTTTATGATGAAATTGAGTGAAGAAGAGCCTAGGTTCAAGGACAGCAATTGGTCCTCAGTCTCTGGGCATCAAAGGAAAACCAATAACAAACAGGGTTTGATTCTGAGATCAAAACATTTCATTTGAAGATCAAATGAAATTACTTACATGAAGGAACTTCATAAGTATTTACGAACTAAAGGAGTTTCCTTTTGCATTTGTTTATTTACTTTGTGGGGGGTCACACATGCCACAGCATACATGCAGCAGTCAGAGGACAACTTGTAGGAGTTGGTTCTCTCTTTCCACCACGTGGGATTCAGGGTTCAAACTCAGGTACCTTTTGCCTGCTGAGCTGTCTTATGGGCACTGCATTACAATTTTAAATCACTATTCATCAATACAAACAATTTCTAGACACAATGCAATCACAGTGTCTATATGGTAGATGGCTAAAATGAAAACTGACAATACCAAATGCTGGCAAAAGGCTGGAAATACTCAGGCAACACCAGAGGGGTGAAAAACAGCACAACCAAACTGGGACATGACCAGGCAGATGCTTGCCATATGTTCTGTTATCTGTTAGTTCCATTCCTTGGTACCTATCCAAGAGGAATGAGAAATGACCACAAAGATCTCCTATGTAAATGCCCTTCGCAGCTTTATGCAAACCATCAGCCATGATGTCTATAAACAAGCTAATATATAAACAATCCTCTGGCGCATCCATGAAATGGAATATTGCTAGGAAATAAACATGAATCAACTACAGCTATGCACAACAAGACGGATGAGTTTCAAAATCAATATGCTGAGTAGATAAAGGAAAAATATGTGCTATATGCTTTCAGTTATATGAAATTCTAGATGAGACAAAACTAAACAGGGTGATGGAATCAGGAACAGCAATCACTTCTGGGGTGGGAATAAAGTGGGAACTGCTTCCTGGGTGTTGGTAATGATCTTTGCCTTGATTAAGGATTCACGGTTTTCTGTCATAATTGCTCACACCGTTACTAGTGTTTGAGATCTGGGCCGGGTATGTCCAGGTTCTTAGTATCTTATTCAAAGAACCAAAAGGCTCTCACAAAACTGAAAGTAGCAAAGCAGTAGACTAGGTCAGCTACTCTGTCAAGAGTGACAACCCACCCCATGAGTGAAAACAATCAAGGCCTGATTAATGTTTAGCACTTCATTTTATGGGGTTCAAATAAAGGATGAACTTTTGTTGCTTAAGGGTGTGGGTGGTTTTTTTTTGTCTTGATTGATATATTATGTTTTAGACCTCTTTTTTACTGCACATGTCCTTTCCTATAACTCAGTCTGATTTTAATCAAATGCATGCCCAATTATGTGTAGGAATAAGTTGGCAAATATGGGATTTTCCCTAAAATTTCACTTTAAGGATGCAATTTGCCTTATTGCAAATGCACCCAAAACTAGTTCAGACCAGATTGACCTTCCTACTCTACACCAGAACATAACTAGAATATAACTGAATAGAATCTAAGTTTGATGGAAAGGAGAAACAACATTGCATTCTTCATAGGGGATGTGCATGAAAACCAGAACATATAGGAGTCCTAGGATGCTAACAGGTTGCCAGGTGAGTTCCCTCAAAGAAGTGTGTGTGTGAGAGTGTGTGTGTGTGCATGCATGAGTGTGAGATCGTGCATTTGTGCATGCATGTGTGCCTGTGTGTGTCATGCAAGTAAGAATTTAGGCTATCTAAAGTGCATTGCTAATACAGAGGTATATCCCAAGCCAAGTGGAGTCCCAAGTTGCTAAACTATTTCCTATGCTTGTCTTCACAACATTGCAACATTGTGACATCAGGATCTGTGCTTTCCACAATATTGTATTGAACCTCACTTTTAAAAAATGAATGATGAATATTGAAATGTTTCAATTTTCTGCTGCATAACAAATCACCAGACTTGTCATCTCAAAATATCCTTTCATTATTTTTGAGGGAGGGTCTGTGGATCAGAAGCCCAGGTTCAACTGAGATTTCTGTCCAGCACCTTGTGAGGCTGAAATCAAGGTTAGGTCATTGAACCATGAGCTTTTTTCAGCCTTGCCTCAACGAGTGAGAGGGGGGGGGAGGGAGGGAGGGAGAGAGGGAGGGAGGGAGGGATGGAGGGAGAGAAAGATGCATGTGTTGCAAGAATTCCTTCCCTGAGGAGAAGTTAAAAAAAAAAAAAAGTCTACCTTGTCTTGTAAAGTCTCAACCAGAAAACCAAAGGTTCAGCAGAGTTCACCCTGGGAAATGAGTAAATTTCTTGGGCTCAGTTACAGAGCGATGAGGAGTTACAGCAACACTGTAAAGTTTCCACACTGGAAAGTCTTCACCAGTATAGATTATGACTGCCATAGCCACACAGATGAAGCCCCCTTCTGTCAACATTTTCCCAGACAATATACTCCAAGGCTACATGCAAAAATGACCAGGAGGACAGTATCTCCAGTGAAGATCCAATGACCCTCCCGACCCTTCCTTCTATGAGGGAATGTCAACTTGGAAGACCACATTCTACAACAGCATGTGTGTGCGTGCGTATGCGTGCGTGTGCATGCGCGTGCATGCAGCAGTGGCAGCAACAACTGGCTCTCTGCCACAGCCATATTGAGTATGAAGTATTTTCACATATTCCCAATTTAGTTTCTGTTTACATATACTTAATAGAAACATTCCGTGTATAAAAATAAGCACTGTGGTGTATTAATACCATGCAGAGACACAATGTTCTTTCACACTGTATGGATCATAGTCTAATATTATGGGATGCCTCTGTAGTGTATGTGTATAGTCGTTTATAAGATAAAGCATCCAGTGTGCTTCATACCCAGCATTTTTTTTAATGTCTTAGTTAAGGTTTTTATTGCTGTGAGGAGACACCATGACCATGGAAACTCTTTTATTTCTTTAATGTTTCAATCCTCCCTCTGGGTATTTCTTTTTATTTAATTTGTTAAATTCCAATCCCAGTTCTCTCTTCCTCCTCTCCTCCCACTCTTCCCACTTACACACACACACACACACACACACACACACACCTCCCATCTGCTCCTCAGAAAGGGTAAGGCCTCCCCTAGGATGTCTACGAAGTCTGCCCCATCATCTCGTTGTGGCAGGACCAAGGCCCCACCCTCCGCACCCATGTGTCTAGGCTGAACAAGATATCTCTCCATATAGAATGGTTTCCACTAAGTCAGACTGTGCATTAGTGTTCGATCTGGACCCGCTGCCAGTGGCCTTATATATTGTCCCAGCCACACCATGGTCACCTATATTCTAGACCAAATTCTATAGTCTAGTTCGGTCTTACACAGGTTCCCCATTTGTCAGACCTGACTCAGTGATCTCTCAGTCTCTCATGTCAGCTGATTCTGTGGGTTTCCCCATCATGGTCTTCACTCCTTTGTTCATATTGTCACTCCTCCCTCACTTCAATTGTACTCCAGGAGCTTGACCCATTGGTTATTGTGGATTTCTGTATCTATTTCCATCTGTTTCTGGAAGAGGGTTCTAGCTTCTCTGGGGTTGTGGATTGTAGGCTGGTTATCTTTTAAATATACCCAGTATTTTAGTGAGAGCTAGATACCAGGCCAGAGAGCAGAGAGACTGAAATACACTCTCAGGCCCTAAGGCTG